TTATTTGTCGCACTGCTGATGACGTCACGTACGCGCTTTGATCGGGCGCGCTTTAGTGGACTGCGGTTTTGACGGGTCACGGGGGAAATACTCTTTTTTGCATCTCTCTTTGGTCAGTGAGCCAGCACAGCACTCCGTTGCTTCAGCAGGATCTCAAGGTTTCAGGGGCAGAAGAAATGAGGATTGCTGCATCCAATAACTGCATTGTGAGGGAGTGGAAACATTGTGCTAGGGCACTGGAGTTTAATGCACATGTGAAACTGTGAGATTTTGTGAGTGTGCCATATTACTGCAAGACAGAGGAAAATTTCACTTGTCAGAATGTTCTTTCCCTGATCACCGAGTTGTCTGCTTGAGTAGTATAGAGAGCGTAGGATAATCACATATCAGACTCCAAGGCAGTCTGCAATTAATCATCCAACAGTGACAGTGCTCCTTACAACAGTTTCATCTCCTGCAAGGATTGTTTCCAGCTCATCAGAGGATACTAGACTATTGAGGGGGCGGGGGATGCTTGCTTTGTGAAAACTTTGCGGCTATTTTGTTCTTGGTATAGTATCAAATCCTCTCCCTTAGGATAACGATTTCCAGCCCCTGAAGCCTGGGGACCCAGTTTTCCAGACTTTCGATGGAGAGGATATTCTACATGATGATGATGATACCTTCTTCCCAGTCTTCATCAATGAAGCAGCCTACTATGAGAAGAAAATAGCCTTTTGGAAGACCAAAAAGGAAACATTTGCCCAACCAGCACTGCAGAAGGCATTTTAAGTATGATGAGTTGGTTAACAATCAAAGGCAATTGAAGTTTCTGTGTTGTGCACATTCTAAGAATCAGTGATACTGGAGAAAATTTATGTGGTCACTAAGAATCAGCACCAAATTGATGACATATAATGAAATAAATTATGCATGGCTTAGTTCATGTAGCAAACAAATTATGATAATCACTCCTTAGTTTATTGTCTGATGCAATTATCTCTCATGCTAGGGCAATATAGTGTGCACTTCTCCAAAACAAAGATGTGCCCTTGTAGTGAGGATTCCCAAGAGGCATGTGCACATGACTAGTGTGACCTCCCCCTTTTGGTACACTTTTTTCACCCTCCCCAGGCTCCAGAGGCTTTCTCGGAGCCTGGGGAGGGCAGAAACAGCCTCCCCGCNTGTACTGTATTGTATTGTATTGTATTGTATTGTATTGTATTGTATTGTATTGTATTGTATTGTATTGTATTGTATTGTATTGTATTGTATTCTTGAAAAAGTCCAGTTGCCTATTGGAAAAATCACCTTTGGGCCCTACATTAGTAGTTTTTAGTATTTCCCAATATCATATTCTCCAAGCAAAAAGTGGGAAATATTGCAGTTCTTGCTTTGCCACATGTGATCTATGTAGAAGAAGGAAAGATATATGTTAGGTAAACAAAGGCATTCCAACCTAATTCCATCATGATGTATTCTAACACTCCCCCTCCCTTTCTTCCTATAATCCCCTACAGCATTAGAGTTGGGTCCACAACCCCAGGGAGTGGCACGAGCTGACCAGCTTGCTAAGATGAGAACAATTGTGGCCTGTGCTTTGGACTTCATTGAGCTTTTTAACAAAGGTGACCTATTTTGATTCTTGGGACTGAGAAGCTCCATAAACGTGAGTGAGCGATATTAGCGTTAATGAGCTCAATTTTGGAGATGATCAGAATGCCATAGTTTTACGGATAAAGCAATGAAAGCTATGGCAACAAGCCCTCCCTTTGTCAAAATAAGACTGGGGAAAAAAGCCAATGGTTAGCTATCAACCAACTGTCATGCATTTTTCAGTAATATGTCTGGAAATATAATCCTGTTTCCCTCGTGTGCCGCAGACTAGTGATCTGACATGAGATTTATGCTGATCAGGCTCTTGCCTGGCATGAATTTTAAAATAAAGCCTAGACCAGTGTTTCTCAACCTTGGCAACTTGAAGATGTCCGGACTTCAACTCCCAGAATTCCCCAGCCAGCGAATGCGAATGGGGGAATTCTGGGAGTTGAAGTCCGGACATCTTCAAGTTGCCAAGGTTGAGAAACACTGGCCTAGACATACAGTACCTTCCGATGCAGAAACTGACAAACATCTGAATAGGGATCATCAATTGCCAAGGGTGGTGGGGAATGAATTTGTCCATCTTCCTGCCTCACAGAGTCCTGATTGTGAAGACTGAGAATAAACTTTGTGTGGATCTGGCTGTCGGTCTGCTTCTTTTTGTTAGGCACCTTGTTCCCAGCCTTTGAAATTGAGGCCTACAGACCAGTTGAACGGAAGGACTTCCCCCGTTATCCCAATGGGGAGATTTCTGCTGTAATACATCCAAATCTACAGGTGAGTACAAGGCTGAAGAAGGAAAGAAGAGAGGGCCTATGTTTGTGTGGGTATGTGTAAGAGTGAGTGCTTGTGTGCGTGCACACACTATTTGCAGCTTTCTGGCTGCACTTTGCAACGTAATAGAACATTGAGGGCCTAAAACTTTGGACATCTGTGCAAGGAGCATTTTGCACCTTATCAGGTAGCTTTGACAACTGTAGATTTGGATGT